GATTGGAATGAAAATAGACGCGCTGAATTTCGGGTTTTTTTTAATTTTTTTTATATTTTTTATGAAAGATAGAATTTATCGAACATTTATCTACATAAAAAAACAAGAATAATATTGTAGAAATTGTATTTCTAAAGATGCATATAATTCATATTTCATTTTGTAGACAATAAATATTCAGTAAGATATACTAAAGACGATTATTAATTCTGAAATGTGCATCTCATGAGCTATTATTAATTAGTAGGCTATGTATTATGTTATAAATTCTTAAAATAATAATTTCGAATTATGCTATATTTTGGGCTCTGACTTAATTTAACGATGGCCCTATCAGTAGTAATGACAGTATTTGTGCTTTTTTTTTAGCCATGTAGTAAAATAATACTATTATTATGAGAGTCAAGAAGAAGTAGTAGAAGAAGAAGAGGAGGAAAAAAGAAGAGCTTTTTTTTTGTTTTATAATAATAAACGTGTTGAGTATATTGATATTGATTATGCGATGAGGGTTTTTTTTTTATATCTTTTGGTGTGATTTAAACATGCCAATTCTCAGAAAATATTTTCTAATTTTATTATATTACCACCTTTTCATTACATAGATCTTTTTCAAAACATAGGCCAAACTGCTTTTATAACATTATTATAGACCCATTAAACACAAAAACCCCACCGTGGCCCCAGGCACCTGAACCCCACCGGGGGTGGCGCCAGCGGGGCGGGGGAGGGCCCCCGTCGGGGATAGCTGCACAATTCGTCGGGGAGAAAAAAAAAATTATATGTATATTTTACATATTAGTAGACCCACTTTGCTTTCGTCGGGGAAATCTGACCACTCGTCGGGGCACCCCCCGGTCGGGGGCCTCGCCCCCCCCCCCCGTNNNNCGGGCAAATCCTGGTGCCACCTCTGGACCCCACGCCCAGAGAACCCCACCTTGAAAAGACCTGGCTACGGGCCTGCACACAGACCCGACGCCACAACAAATCGCGTCGGGCTGCGTCGGCCGACGCTGTCTGAGTTAAAGAAGGACTTTGCATTTTCTTAACCTTTGTAACATGAAACACAATAATAAAACATTAAATATTTTCAAATTTGATATTCAAGCGCATGTAATTCAATCTCTCTTTAGCTTTACTTGAATAACGTAGCATATAGCAGTCTATTTTAATACCAGTACATATACATACATACATATAGAAACATAATACAGAAACTTTATTTGTCCAAGAAAGGAAATTTGTTTCGTTGACAAAGTTCAAAACTACAAAGTCAAAAACAGAATCAAATTTTAAAAATATTAAGAATTAATTAAAGATTAAAATACATTACCTAAAAGCCTATATTAATCAAGTTTAATATACAGTGCTATTTATAATCGTTAAAAAAAAAGATACAGATCAACAAACTGGGTCAAGATCTATCTTTTAATTAACAAGCGAGTTGTGGTGCCAAGAATTTAGCAAATTTTCTAAAACGATCGTGATTTCCTTTATGTGGCCGCAGTCTAATTCCTGATCTATTAAAAAGATAGTAGGCCTACTCATTTAGTAGGTTGTAGGATCGTCAATTTTCAGTTTAATTTCTTTTTAAACCCTACCTTCATAGATAGCATTAACAGTTGGTAGGTCAGCACAAATATTTTTGCCTGCACGTTTCCTAATTTTCAACAATTGTTTTCTATTTTCACATGACAGCCCCGCAAATAATGTAATGACTTTTACAGTACAGTAAGCACACTCTGAATGACATACCTATAAAACGTCATAAGAATTGTATTATTTATCTTATGTTGTTTCAATTTCCTCAGAAAATTCAAACGTTGGTTAGACTTTTTAAAGATTGTTAGTTTGAGAAATAAATTTGCGATTTTTATCAATTATAATTCCGAGGTATTTTTGTTCGTTGACTTATTCTATTTGTTCTCCTTTAATAGTAAGCTCAGTATGGTTACAGATTTTCCTCCTATTGTCGAAAACAATATCTTTGGTTTTACTCATATTAAGCTGAAGATAATTTTGTTCACACCAGTCCACAAATCTGTTTACCTCTCCAGTGGACATATGGTGATACATCAGATCCATGTAGGTACCCTGAAATTACTGTGTCATCCGCGTATTTAATTATTGAAGTTGCATTACCCAAAGTTTTGTAATCTGAAGTAAGAAGCGAACGGAGAAAGGACGCACCCTTGTGGTGCGCCTGTGTTGCACACCCTTGTGTTAGAGATAATGTTATCCATACCTGAGAAAACTATTTGTCTCAGTCCATACGGACATACTGAGGACGTTGTTGTACTCTTTTTCCATCACGCCTACCCCGAGCTTTTCGTTTAATTTCAGGGGGAAAGCTACTGTAGCCTATGGCTTAGCGAATGGTACCACGCTATATTTAATGGGATATTGAGCCTATATGCACATATAATGTACCCATCTATACCTATGTGGAATATCTTGCCTGGTCTCCGTTTACTTTCCTTCATTTTTAAATGCAAAGTATTGGCATGTCAGTTGAACATGTTAATACCAATAAATGAAATTTGGTGTAAAAACTCAAAACCGTTTGGCGTGGCAAAGTGTTTTTATTTTATACTGGTTGAACTAATTTTTTTTTTTGGGGGGGGTTGTTTAATGTAGGCTTAGCCTATTTATGATTTTGATACACATTTAAAATTTAACCTGGGCAAAACGACAATCGTCGAGGAAGCAAAAAAATTGACGGCACAACGTGTGGGCAGGAGAATGACTTGTTCTCGTTTGGCAGTGAAGGGAATGTAGTGGCCCCTCTAATTTTTTAAAGATTAAAATGAAAATGGAGAACAAAATATAATAGGCATAATACAATTCTAGAGTACGGCCATATATAGACGTGCCATATTCGTTAGTGTTTTTATCATGCAACGGCAACCACGGGGGTGGGGGCTGACTGAAGTGGTCTAGTGACCCTCATCTCTGAAAGTCCATCCCAGGCCCCTCTATAAAATTCTTAGACCCGCCTCCAGATTGGTGTTACAAATCAATAATTAGCAGCAGCCTTGCTTGCTTAACACATAGATTTGTGCTTTCTTCCTTCAACCCATCGCAAAAAAATCCGAATTTTAGATCAGAAAACCTACCGAAGCGACAGAAAATTGTAAGAGTAGGGACTGGTGTTCAACGGGCTTGGAAAACGTGGCCGATCTCGCGAAACGCGTCTCCAGCAAATTAATTCTACATCTGTTGACATTTCGGATTACTGTGGTATCGGCCGTAGCCTACTAAATTCAAATTCACAGAAAAATTACACGCTTTTTTTCGATTTATTGATCAATATAACAAAATTCTAAAAATACATTTAGATATGATAAACAAATTTACAATTAATAGGATAACATTTTTTTGTTCGGCACACCTTTATTCAAATTTCAATCCAATCAATGTCCCCATAACATACATACTAAATTCTAATCTATACTCACTAACGGTACGCATTCGTTTTTACAATGCCGTACTGTATATTTCCGATACTTTCTTCACATTTTTCATGTTCTCACACAGACCCGACGCAACAACAAATCGCGTCGGGCTGCGTCGTACGACGCTGTCTGAGTTGGCCTTAAAGAAGGACTTTGCATTTTCTTAACCTTTGTAACTTGAAACACAATAGTAAAACATTAAATATTTTCAAATTTGATATTCAAGCGCATGTAATTCAATCTCTCTTTAGCTTTAATTGAATAACGTAGCATATAGCAGTCTATTTTAATACCGGTACATACATACATACATATAGAAACATAATACAGAAACTTTATTTGTCCAAGAAAGGAAGTTTGTTTCGTTGACGAAGTTCAAAACTACAAAGTCAAAAACAGAATCAAATTTTACAAATATTAAGAAGAATTCATTAAAGATTAAAATACATTACCTAAAAGCCTATATCAATCAAGTTTAATATACAGTAGCTATTTACAATCGTTAAAAAAAAAAAGATACAGATCAACAAACTGGGTCAAGATTTATCTTTTAATTAACAAGAATTTAGCAGATTTTCTAAAACGATCGTGATTTCCTTTATGTGGGCGCAGTCTAATTCCTGATCTATTAAAAAGATAGTAGGCCTACTCATTTAGTAGGTTGTAGGATCGTCAATTTTCAGTTTAATTTCTTTTAAACCCTACCTTCATAGATAGCATTAACAGTTGGTAGGTCAGCACAAATATTTTTGCCTGCACGTTTCCTAATTTTCAACAATTGTTTTTTTATTTTCACATGACAGCCCCGCAAATAATGTAATGAGTTTTACAGTACAGTAAGCACACTCTGAATGACATACCTATAGAACTCATAAGAATTGTATTATTTACATTTTTATTGTATTATTTCAATTGTATTATTTCAATTTCCTCAGAAAATTCAAACGTTGGTTACAGTTTTTCCTCCTATTGTCGAAAACAATATCTTTGTTTTTACTCATATTAAGCGGAAGATAATTTTGTTCACACCAGTCGACGAATCCGTTTACCTCTTGGACATATGCTGATACATCAGATCCATGTAGGTACCCTGAAATTACTGTGTCATCCGCGTATTTAATTATTGAAGTTGCATTACCCAAAGTTTTGTAATCTGAAGTAAGAAGCGAACGGAAAAAGGACGCACCCTTGTGGTGCGCCTGTGTTGCACACCCTTGTGTTAGAGATAATGTTATCCATACCTGAGAAAACTATTTGTCTCAGTCCATACGGACATACTGAGGACGTTGTTGTAATCTTTTTCAATCACGCCTACCCCGAGCTTTTCGTTTAATTTCAGGGGGAAAGCTCTGTAGACTAAAGGCTTAGCAAATGGCACCACGCTATGTTTAATGGGATATTGAGCCTATATGCACATATACAGTAATGTACCCACCTATACCAATGTGGAATATCTTGCCTGGTCTCCGTTTACTTTCCTTTATTTTAAATAAAAATGCAAAGTATTGGCATGTCAGTTGAACATGTTAATACCAATAAATGAAATTTGGTGTAAAAACTCAAAACCGTTTGGCGTGGCAAAGTGTTTTTATTTTATACTGGTTGAACTAATTTTTTTTTTTGGGGGGGGTTTAATGTAGGCTTTAGCCTATTTAGGATTTGATACACATTTAAAATTTAACCTGGGCAAAACGACAATGGTCGAGGAAGCAAAAGATTGACGGCACAACGTGTGGGCAGGAGAATGACTTGTTCTCATTTGGCAGTGAAGGGGATGTATATAATAATAATAATAGGCCTATATTCTAGAGTGCTATTTACGGCCATATATAGACGTGCCATATTCGTTAGTGTTTTTATCATGCAGCGGCAACCACGGGGGTGGGGGCTGACTGAAGTGGTCTAGTGACCCTCATCTCTGAAAGTCCGTCCCAGGCCCCTCTATAAAATTCTTGGACCCGTCTCCAGATTGGTGTTACAAATCAATAATCAGCAGCAGCCTTGCTTGCTTAACACATAGAGTTATGCTTTCTTATACATAGAGTTATGCCTTCAACCCATCGCAAAAAATCCCATTTTTAGATCAGAAAACCTACCGAAGCGACAGAAAATTGTAAGAGTAGATGGTGTTCAACGGGCTTGGAAAACGCGGTCGATCTCGATCGCGAAACACGTCTTCAGCAAATTAATTCTACATCATGACGTATTTAGGGTTACTGTGGTATAGGGCGTAGCCTACTAAATTCAAATTCACAGAAACATTACACACTTTTTTTCGATTTATTGATCAATATACAGTAATAACATTTTTAAAATACATTTAGAAATGATAAACAAATTTACAATTAATAGTATAACATTTTTTTTTCTTTTCGGCACACCTTTATTTAAATTTCAATCCAATCAATGGCCCCATAACATACATACTAAATTCTAATCTATACTCACTAACGGTACGCATTCGTTTTTACAATGCCGTACTGTATATTTCCGATACTTTCTCACATTTTTCATGTTCTCATAAAGAAGGACTTTGCATTTTCTTAATCTTTTTAACAAGAAACACAATAGTAAAACATTAAATATTTTCAAATTTGATATTCAAGTGCATGTAATTCAATCTCTATTTAGCTTTACTTGAATAACGTAGCATATAGTAGTCTATTCTAATGGCACCACTATATTTAATGGGACTTATTATTGAGCATATATGCACACATACTGTACCGCATATTGTAGAGTCGCTGGAACTTTCTGGCGTTTAAATCAAACTTACCGTACCTGACTAATCAGTGCCAGGAACTTGTGCTTGTCGCAACTGATCTGCAGACTGCGTAAAACATTGTAAACAAAAAGCACTTTACATATAGGCCTAATGCTAAAATAGACTATAACTTGACTTACACAACTTCTAGTTTACCTGCTATGCTATCTTATACAGAGAACAAATTACTTTACGAACACTTTTATATTATATTTTTACATTTTGGAATTGCAGCCATTAAAACTATTTCAAGCCAACGAGACTAAACCAGACTGATTTATTAAAAAAAAAAAAAAAAAAAACATTAACTATATAAACATGTTTTTGCAGTACAACAGACTGCCATCATCAGTTTAACAATAATTACTTACAAGCAAATTATAGTATCCCTCTGCGATCTGATTGCAAACTGTAAAACCTATAATAGAAGCCCTTGGCTTCATTTTTTAGGACCCTTGGATGAGCTCCTTTCTGAGATTGGCATATCTTTTGAGATTAATTAGGCAAACTGAAATGTGAGTGGATGCAAGATATAATCTTACAATACAAAAATGAACAGATAAGCTCATGCGGATACTACTACTGTACTTTAAAAGGGCAATATCAACATTAAAGTTAACGATTGGAGTGTATACACCTTGGATTAGGTATTCAAAACTTGAATTATTCATAAAAGTTAAATGCGTCTTTATGTGAACGCGGCAGTGCTGCTTACTTCTAATAAACATTCGAATGGTAATACCATGAATTTATTTCAACGATTAGTAAGAAAAAAATTTGGGACACACAGAAAGAAGATTGGTAAAAAATGGCGCTCACAGGAATGTAAGAGAAGCAGAGAAATGCAAAAGCTAGTTTAATATTTGAGCAAGAGGGCATTACATTTAGGAAGGAAACAGGAAGGAGCAGGAATTGTAATGAAGTTAAAAATTTAAAAAAATAAAAGAAGGGAATCTGTGACAGCGATCACTTATATATATGATCACACCTATATGTATATAAATTCAGAATGTATACGGTACACCATATTACATTTAATCAAATAAAAATAACATCATTGGCTACAAATATGAAACCTAATGATGTTACTATTGCCCACTGCTTATTATTGATCCAAATTTTATTTATTATATGGTTTTTATCCATGTATATAATAATTATTTTGGGGTCATTACTATTTACCAACAAATAATTTTATCTAGTGAGAAGACAATATATTTCTTCCAGAGCAGTGCACGAGTCTGGAGGGTGAAATTTTACAAACATTTTGTCCCTACTCAAATTAGTATATGATAGTGGGTCATAATCATAGAAATAATAATAATAATAATAATATAGAAATTTATATAGCGCCTTTTGCCAAAGGATACAAGGCGCTTAGAAAAGGTTTATTGTAGGAAGAAATAACAATAGTTCCTAGTAGTAAGTGGTAATAATTTCTTTAGCTCTACTAAATTACCACTGCAATCCTGTACTATAACAGCCAAAATGACGAAAGCTATGTCGTGCTCCCCATTTAATTAATTCTACAGTACTCCCAAGAAGCATGCATTTTAGCCGACAACATGTATCTCAATCATCAGAAAACCACTTCAAATTTTCGTCAGTGTCCGTCAGCGATCGGCTTGCAATAATATATCAGTTTTGTATAATATGTTATTGGATTTTACACTAGTATATGCTAAAATACAACTAAATATAATTTATTGCAATATATGTAAATTAACAGTAAATAAACAGGCTTACAATACAAAAATGAACTGATAAGCTCATGCAGATACTAATTTGAAAGGTCAATACACTATCAGCATCTTAGTTTACTATTGGAGTATTTACATATAATATCTTATATTATTAACAAACTTGAATTATTAATGTGTTTTAATGTGAATGCCGCCCAGTGCTGCCTACTTCTAATAAACATTTGAATGGTAATACTACTACTTTCTTTAAACAATTAATAGAAGGCACTTAACATTGTTTTGGGTCACAGAGCACAGAAGGAAGGTTAGTAAAACATGGTTTTTTTTCACATACGCAATAAATATAGTGGTGTCATTACTATTTACCACCCATAATTGTGTCAAGTGAGAACACATGATATCTAGTACACAAACTATGATTTTGTTTACCTTCTTCGTCGTTTATATAATGTGTCTTGTAAATCATCAAAAACCAAGATTTGTCTTTACATGTGAATGGCACAATTTGTTCGCATTGAACTTTACTTCTATTTTCCAAGATAGTAACGAAGTCGTAAGTAGTATCCAATGAACCTATGTTGTCTTTTACTGGTCTCAGGCGGATCGCTTTGTCATTGGTTTTGTCTTGTTCCAGATGCCACAATCCCTCCCATGTTGACCTATCTTGTATCTGCGATGAAGATACTTCGGCGTTGGATGCTAATTCGATGTTTAATGCTTCAGCCTCCTTTGTTAATTTACTTCCAGATGACTCTCTTTTGGACTTGGTGAATTTATTTGCAAATCTCCATTTCTTTACCTTTTCCGAAGACTCTTCCTTTGAATCTCCCGGCGATTCTTTTATTGGCGTTATTTGTTCGTCGCCTTCCTGTTTATTTGTTGCTGATGATTCTTCTTTTATTGTACTTTCTGTTGATTCCTCTTTATTGAGTGTAGATTCTTCAGTAAGGGATGCACTTTCAGATTGTATTGTTGATCCACTTCCACATGACTTTCCTTTCGACTTTGTTGAAAATTTGTTTTTTACCTTCTTAGTAAATTTGGAGAATGAACGCCGTTTCTTTATATTTTCTGAGGACTCTTCCATTGAGCCTTCAAGTGGATTTTCCATTATTATTACTTCTTTATCGTCTGATAATGCATTTGTTTCTGGTGAGCCTTCTTCCATTGCATTTTCCGTTGAATTATCATTATTAATTGAGGGTATTTCAATTGTGGGTACACTTTTGTATTTTTGTGTTGATGTACTTGGTGATGACTCTCCTGACTTGAATGACAGTGCATAAGCGACTATGGCACTTGCTTTGCCGAACATACTCCGTTTCTGTACATTTTTAATTGACACTTCTGGGTCTTCGGATGGCTTTTCTAAAGAGGACGTTCCTATTCTATCGTTTGCAGGTTCGTCTGTTTTTGGTGAATTTTCTTTCCTTGCATTTTCAGATGATTCTTTCTCTTCCTTGGCAGAAGTCACATCATCCATACGTTCCATGGATGAAGCACAAACCAACGATCCATCAATAATTGCGAAACTTACTACAGGCATTTCAAGTTTCCATTCCTGAAATATGTCGACGAATACAATTATAACCACATTGATATTATCGATAAAATTATTGTTAATGTTGTAAGAGATTTTAGTTCACAAACACGTTTATATTCTACTTTTGACTTACCTTAGTGTTTTTTGTAAACGTTGTGCAATAATCATAACTTTGTCCTTCGTATAAGACCTTTTTGGCATCTAAAGATGTAATAATCACAACGATTCTTTTTTCATCGCCGGTTTCTGTCACCTGAAATTTATTAATATGTTATTCTTTACGTTAAATAAAACAAACTTGGTTCAGGATTATTACACAATTTTTCACATAGTACTGGTTGTGGTTGTTATTGTTCTTACTATTTATAATGAAACTTCAATTAATGAGAGAAAAAAGGAAAAAATGAAAATAAAAACTGTCAAGGGTCACCATCAACCATTAATTTGTCGCATTCCTAAGCCTCTACCTAGATTGTATAAACTAAACCTATTTGCTCAGAGTTGGTAGCCATATCGTAGTAATAATAGTATTGGTGGTAGTGGGAGAATTAGAGAGGTACTAGGGCGGGTCCAGATATTTGCAGGAAGGGGTGTGAAGGGAACTGCTGTATGAAGAACATAAGTTTGAATGACTTCGGGAACCATCTTCTGTCTTATCTTGGAGAGGTCAGACGTCGACAACCTTCACCCCCTATAAATCCACTCAGGTGTATTATTTAAATAATCCTTCTGTGAAGCCAAGTCAGCCAAATGCTGTATAATACAGAATATTCTAAAACATAATATTGAATACTGCTACATCTGTAACTATAATTAATGAAAGACCTTTGCAAATGAAAGTCTAAACTAGATTTAAACTCGTCACTAAGGACGAGTTAGGTGATCCGCCACACTTTGACTCTCAGTAAGATCGCGTGGCGCGTATTGGAAAAAATGTAAAATTCTCAAAATGGCATTTATAAACATGCTCTAATTTATTTATTTATTTATTTTATTTTTAAAGAGTGATTTTTAGAATTTTACTAAAGAGTGCTGCAGACACCTTTTCTGGAACATTAAACAGTGATGTTATAGGCAATATGAAAAATCCAACTAGAGAGGGCAGCAGACACTTTTTCTGGAACGTGAGACAGTAGACTTTGACCCAAGCAAATGTCCTTATATGAGGCCACTCATGTGCTTTCAGAATATGTAATAAATTAGCGCCTACATCATTGTAATTGCCATAAACTGACTGAAAAAGAATGGAAACGTAATTTCTAGCTCAGTATGTGCAGTGCGCATGAAATTGAGCGCACGGTGCGTAAATTATTGTAAATTTTGTAATGTTGAAAATTACATACAAAGTGAATTTTCAAATTTTAACACACACATATGCGCACATCATGACGCGCTCACGGACGGTAATGACACACGAAATTGAACCTTGTCAAGTGTCATTATGTCTGTTGGTCAATAATGCCACACACATTTTCCCTTCATATGAACAGTCTGATAGCGTATAAATATAGTCTGCCACTCCCCGGTCGTAAAATTCATAGATTTGGAAAATGCGAAATGAGGGGGTCCAAAAAATCATTCATTTTGTCCATGATGAAGTCATGAAAATAATAAATGAATGGTACATGTCTGAAAGAGAATTGTCTCAGCTATAACATACTCATATGTGGGAGTCGGTTGATGAAGGATAAGTGAGATATGGTCAAATCCGTATAAAAATTATTACGTCATATAAAAATTCAGTTTTTAATTCAGATGACAATATGATAACGTCACAATGTCCGATCAACCAAAATGATCTACAAAATCATATCTACAACTCATGTGTTTTCAGAATATATAATAGAAACGGAGGGTCATGGTTCATCCTAAGGAGCTATAACTGATTAAAAATAGGCATGACTTTGAGCATTAAAAAAATTTTACACATGTGTACACGGACGAACTGAAAATTTTGGTACATGACATTCACTCTTGACCTGAAGTTTATACCCACTGAATATGATTTAGAAATGCCAATTGGTTATGGGAATCGTCAAAGCTTTAAAGATGAAAAAAGATGAGGGAGGTCAGAAAGAACATTAATTTTCACAATGATGACGTCTTCAAAATGTAAAAATAAGTCACAATTATGAAAGAGAATTGTCTCGTTGACATCTTAGCTTGTAATGTGTCTCCCTAGCTTTAGGCAAAAGATGATTTAGCCTATGCGTTGAGGATTTGACCTTCTGGAAATAGTCCCTGCACAACCAAGTGCGCCTCTTTGACAGTAAAGGGATATTTAAAAAGACCTTGCACATTCGTAGCTAACACCTGCTAAAATAATCCCAAAAGCCCTACTTTGGATTTATTCAAGCTGTTTACTCTGTGTCTCAGTGATACAAGTTCCCCAAACTGGAGTTGCGTATTCTAAAACAGGACGTATAACAGCAACATAATAGCGAATCATACCCGGGACACATAGGCCAGATCTACGTAATCGTTTAAGGAAATACAATCTGGTATTACCCCTTGGAAATCATAGTATCCACTTGCAATTGCCAAGTCATTTGAAATATTAAGAGTTTGCATGAATTAACGTTGTTAATTACACTGTTATTAATATTGAGAGGGTCAAAGTTTGATTTATTAGATTTGCAGCTAATTAGCATTTCAACAGTTTTATTGGTATTGATAACCATACATATGGTTGATTATCAAGAGTCAAATGAACTGCCATATCAAGACTTGACTGGAGCCCACTAGATCTGTCTCTGCCAATGCGCTCATAGACGGTAGTGTCATCCATATATTTGATGCATGACACTCCGGCAATGAGGTCATTGACAAAGACAATAAAAAGTATGGGCCCCAAGAGCTTTGAGGTATTCCCCCATCTAAGGAAACCCAACTAGAAAAAATAGATCCAAGCTTTAAGTCACAAAGGAAAGATGCCACCCAGGAAATTAAGGCACAATCCACATCAAGCCGTCTTAGTTTATCCAAGGAGGTATTAAATAAGTTTATCAATAAGGAAATTGTGGTCCACCAGGTCATTGTTAAAATCAAGAAGGAGCTCTCTGACATCTTGACGAACATTAGTAACTTTGTAGAATTCATGGAGAAAACTTATATTATTACTGCTACCCTACAATGTGTAATCAACCTTTTGCTCCATATTTTTTAATGAATGTTATTAGTTGTAATTGTACAACAGACTACTATGAAATGTGGTTGTAAGAAAAATGGTATACCTTGTACATATGGTTTTGGTAAATGCCAAATCAAAAATTGTTACAATACTTATAAATCACAAGATATAATAGACAGTGATAGTGACAATAATACTAATTAAAATTGGCTGTAAATTTGTGTGTTTAAACACATTTTATGAGCCCCAGTGTGCTATCAAAATATAGGTGGTATTTCTCAGCCTCCAGACGCTGCCTGGTTCACCAACAGTTGGGTAATTATTTTACAATCAGTACACTTTTAATAATTTGTATTATTAAATGTCTTCCTTAAATTTAACTGATATTGAATTAGCCTATTCATGGCTCTATTGTAAAGTATTTATAAAGGTCGCAAAAAGCACACTTGTCCTGTTTAAACGATACGAAAATATGTTCGTCTATCAATAAAGTTATATTGATGATGATCATATATTGTATTATAAATATTATTATTATTAGAGTATGGTTTTTTTTCTTTCTTTTTTTTTTTTATTAATATCGAGTTCAATATTCAATCCTCAGCGTATAGGAAATATGTTTCTTAATTACTTTGCACTCATCCTGCATAATTATTTGCATTTGTTTAATGAAATAGAGATTCTATTGTATTGTTCCGGGTACAGAATATGTTTACAGCACAACTACCGGTATATAGTATACTATCAGCATTCGTAATGTTTCATCAATGATGATAATACAAAATTGTATTATATTATTATTATTATTATTTTTATTATCACTGTTCATTATTATTATTATTATTATTATTATTATTATTATTATTATTCACAACTCCATTTATCTTCATAATAATAAAGTTAATAGATAATTGTGGTTTAAAGTGCAATTTTGGCCTAATTTAATTACGTTTAATGTGTAATATTGGTTAATAATTTTTTATATTTTTCTACATCTTATGACTAGATATGTTTGGTACTCGTAGATGTATATCCTTGTTATCTTCTATTTATTACTGTATATGTTATAACACTTGTATAACACTGCCAGTGGAACGTAATTTCTTGATTGATCATTATCATTATTATTATTATAAAGTCTCATCCAATTATGCTAATGTATCTGATGCATAATTGAAATGCTGATGTATAATTTAAATGTTTAATAAACTATAGTTTTTACATTTTATTTTTATTTCATATTATCTATATCATTTGTCAAAATTGTGCTTATTTCACTGCTTGATGCATTTGTATTTGCTTGTATTGATGGGTTGACATTGTGTAAATTAAGGCTTAGATGATTTCTGTGATGAAGATGTAGGCCTAATTCATTTTCAAATGCAGAAAATAAAAAATCACTAGTAGAAGGGCCTACTAGACCTACAAAAATACACATGTATTATACTGTATTTGTCGAAAAAACAACAAATAAGTGATGACTGAACAATGCCTGTACTTGTCATGCAAATGAAAACATGTTTTTCAGCAGAATTATTTTACTAATATTATTATTATTATTATTAATTATACATCAAGTATATTAAAGAAGTTGTACATAAATGAGTAATGCTTACACATGGGTGCATTAAAAGTAGACCTACATACATCAGTTCTAAAATTCAATCAGAATCAAGAAGTTCTTTACGTGGACGACTTGACCGCAGCATTATGAAGAAAACTCTGCAATGTGGGGAGAGTGGCACACTGTGAGGTTGGCGCCGCGTGACTAATTAAAACAAGAGGGCTGGCTAACTAAGCTAATATCCCAGGCATAGACATTACAGTAAGATTACGTACTTACTATAAGTAAAATTTGAAAACTGCAGTACCCATCGTTTAGAAGTCTACTTTCAAATAGTACTTTAATATTGGTTATAAAAAATGCCTTTCTGTTGGTCATATTTTGGTAAAATTTTAGTATGATGTTTATCATAAAATATTTTGTTGCAATTTTGTCCAGTCAATTCCCTATTTCTGGTAGACTAATTGGTCAAATCCTAGCTGAGTTCAAAGTCACTGATGTGTGGGTGTTGTAAATCAGTGGCGACGCTAATCTGGGGTCTGTTGCTGGATTACCATACACTAATAGCGATTGATATTGATAGCGATATTATTGGCGTTTGCTACGCCACGTCCAAGTTCACACCACTTGATTAACGATATGCTAGAGTAAGTCGTGTCTGAACTTAGCCTTAGTCAAAAAGTGATTTCGAGTGATTGATAATGTAAAAACGCAAAATTGCGCGCAGATGACGTCACGCATGACATGTCACCTTGAAAACCTTACCATGACTATTCCAGAAGCCAAATGTTCGTTGAAGTGCGCTTGTGCGTAGCTCGCAGCAATTTTGAGATATCATGTGAACAAGAAATGGAGAGAAAAAAAAGGAATAAACTACTGTAGATTTCAACTCGTCACTGAGGACGAGTTTAGTGATCTGCTGTACTTTGACCCTCAGGAAGCGTGTGCGGTGCTGATTGAATTTTTTTATATGCTAAACTATGCTCTAATTAGTTTTTCAAAAGAGTAATTTTGAGCATTTAAAAAGATTTATGTCTTGACGCCCATCAGCAGGGTAATTCTCAGAATGGCATAAAATATGCTCTAGTTAGTTTTTAAAAAAGTGTAATGTATTAATGTAAACATTTAAAAAGATTTACGCTTGCGTACATGAACGTCTTGACACCTGTGCGCATGTTAATGGCACAAAAAGTTAACTCCTGATATGAATATTGTCAGGAACCCAAAATATGTAACAAAATGTAATTTCCAGCTTCAGTACGTGCTGTGCACGTGGAAATGAGCGTATGGTGCGTAAATTATGGAAAGTTTTGGAATATTCAAAATGGCCTGAAACATGCTTTAAATTATCTGAAAAGTGATATTGAGAATTTCCAAATTTTGCCGCACACGCACAGACGTGCACGTGGATGTTAATGGCACACGAAATTGAACCTTGTCAAGTGCAATTTAAAAACGCCTCTTGGGTGGTAATGCCACACAAATTTTCCCTTCATATGTACTATGTCAGTCTGATAGCATCAAAATACAGTCTGCCACCCTCTGTCGTCATTTATTTTTGACAAATTTGAAGAGAGAGAGAGATGAGAGAGCTCCAAAAATATATTATATTTGACCATGATGATGTCGTCAAAATAAAAAATGAAGGGACACTTCCAAAAGAGAATTGTCTCAGCTATAACATACTCATAGGTGGGAGACAATCAAACAAGAATTAAAGCAGGATACGTTCAAACGGGTACAAAATAATGACGTCATAAATAAAAAATTCAGTTTTTCTTAATTCAAATGGCAAAAAGATGACATCACAATGATCGATCAGCCATAATGATCTATAAAATCATATCTACTACTCATGTGCTTTTAGAATATGTAATAAAAATTGGGGGTCACCTTTCATCCTAACGAGCTATACCTGATCAAAAATATTCATGATTTTAAGCATACATAAATTTTGACGCATGTATACGCGCACGCTAAAAAGTGCAAAAGGAAAATTAAGGTACATGACATTCAACCTTGACCTGAAGTTTATGCTCACTTAATATGATTCAGAAATGACAAATGGTTATGATGATTATGGGGTCACCAACGTTTTGAGGAAAGAAAATGAGGGGGTCAGAAAAAACATCTATTTTGACCATGATGACATCATCAAAATGTATAAAGATATATATATATGAAAGAGAATTTCCTCAGCTATAACATACTCAAAGTTGGGAGACGATCGACCAAAGATAAGCGAGATACGCTCAAATGCGTATTTTTAAAAATGACGTCATAGATAAAATTCAGTTTGATTGAATTCAAATGGCAATATGATGACGTCGCAATGTCCGATCAGCCATTATGATCTATTAAATCATATCTACAACTTTCAGAATATGTAATAAAAATTGGGGGTCACCTTTCATCCTAAGGAGCTATAACAGATTAAAAATAGGCCTGATTTTAGCATATTTTCACTGTATAGTGACACAAATGTGCACAAAGATCTCTATGTTTGATGCGCATGTACAACATTGCTATTGGCCATACGATGAACGAAAAGAATGGAAATTTGTGAAAACAATGTCAGGAAACCAAAATATGTATAAAACGTAAATTCTAGCTTCCGTACGTGCTGCGCATGTAAAAATGCACGTGCGTAGTGGAAGATGTAACAAAATTTTTGAAATGTTCAAAGCCAAATGTTTGTTGAAGCACGAATGTGCATAGCTCGTGGCAAATTTAAGATATCGTGTGCACAAATATGGGGAGAAAGAAAGAAGAATAAAAAGATGATCTCTGACATTAACAAAAGGTGATCCGCTTGTGAAGCAGATCACCAATAATGAATTCTTACGTTGTCCAATATTTTGTAGATTCGTTTTATTGTAAAGATATTTTTTCACGATATTTGAATGTGCATAAATAGGAACTCCAAATAAGGCAATAATGGTAAGACATTGCAAAGAACGGTGCTACAATATATTTCTTCCAGAGCTGTGCACGCGTCTGGAGAGTGAAATTTTACAAACATTTTGTCCTTACTCATTTTAGTATATGACAGTGGGTCATAATCATAGAAATAATGATAGTTTCTAGTAGTAAATATTAATAATTTCTTTAGTAATAGTAAAATAGTTAGAGTGTACGTAGTGGTAGCTTACCTGTATTTGCATATTTTTCTCAGCTTCTTCAATCTTCAGATTTTTTCCTAAATTCCAATTCATTTCGTCATCTGTCCACATGATGAAGGGTTCATATTCTTAACGAACACGAAAAGGGAAAAACACAAATTTGTTACAATTTCAAATTCTATTCACGTTGGGAGTACCACATTAAAAAAAAATGAAACGTAATAAAAGATTTCTGACCACGAAATAGGAATAAATAGGCATTGAAAGGAGGAAATTTACTTACTGAATATATGATATGGTACATGGAAGACGAGTTTGTGAATTTGGATTTTGGTGAGAGTTACCAAGTTCATTATGCATTTCTAGCTTTTGTGCTTTGATATCACACTTATACATCAATAGGTTTTTGGATGGGAACGTACACTCAGTAGGCCTACAATATTCAAAGAGTAAGGGAACGGCCTAATGCCGGTAAAAGGCATGATAAGCGCTGCCCTTGCAGCCACTTGCTTCTATACGGATGTTGTTTTTATTTCAAGCAATAGGAACATATTCACATTTTAGACAAACATATCAGTGACGTCACAAGTGCTACAAGTGTAATAGGAATTCAAATGTAAAATATGTATTGTAATGTAATAATGTATATGTATGTAAATCGACATGTCTATGTTTATATTGGATAAGCAGGTATAACTTATTTACGTTTGTATGTGTGTTCATAATGTGTCTATATGAAAGTTAGATTAATGGATGTGTATGAATAATTAATAAAACATGCTTTTAATTTATATACTTTGTTTTCTTACCATATGATTGTTTTTCGACATCAGATTTACAACAAAAAGACGTACAACCAGTAAACCTCTTCAATACATCCATTTGTTTCCTCTTCTGATATCCTATATTCCAACACATACAGTCATGTTATTATACCGGTACGTAATAATAAAAATAATAGATGGATTTATATAGCGCAAATAAACTAGGTCTCTATGCGCTGGGGATTAGAAGTTGCACTTTTCAATAACTTTCTCCTCCCCTGAGGGTCACTTCATGTCCTCTGCAGCCAGTAAACCGGCGCACTTTCATCTGTCCACAACAGGGGCCGAGAGAACCAGTACACCGGGGGTAACCCCCTACTTATCTTGAAAGATGTACAGGGTTCTTTAAAATGCACATGAGCATTTGCGTACTCTGGGCCTACGGTTTATAGTCCTTATCTGAGAAAACGTGTTCCACCACAAGAACAGCAGCAAACTGGCAGCAAACCTGTGCCGATATCGTTGGCTATAATCACAGTGCCCCTGCCTTCACCGCTCGGCCATTTGGCATTTGGCTGACGTAATAATAGTCACGTCTGTTCATTAAATAAACGCAATATGTACAAGAGGTATAGGAGTATAGGTGTACATGTGACAAACGTCTAAAATGGTTTAAATAGAATTTGCACAGTTAACATGTACCAGTGTAATTGTTATAACAGTTTTATTGGTTACATCGTTGTTGTATTTATTGTTTATTCATGTATTTAATAACACATTTTTTTAAAAATATTATACAATTAGGTAGCAATGTTTTGTATTTAATTTGTAATAATGGAAAACATAGTATTTGTATTGTCACTAGATCACGAAAATGATCACAATACAGACACGTTAGCTCCATAAAATCTGCTCTACTAATTTGTTCCGAATAGGTTTATATGGGTAGATTTTAAAAATTATATCTGTTTAGTAATATTTCATAATTAGTGTAGCATAATACGCTGGGAATTATTAACCGGGGATCAGATCTAAACAAATTTTTTTTTTTTTTTTTTTTTTTTTTTTTTTTTATATTAAATTTTCAATGAAAATCGATCACCATCGAATAATGCACGTCTTTAGTTAAGGGCAAAAACACCATTATACTTGCCACGCTTTATCCAGCCACCGACGACGAGTCGTCCATTTGATAGCTTTTTGCCGCTATGAGGATCTATCAATGACACAGTAAAATAAAAAATGACATATAAATTAAAGAGAAAACTCAATCGTTACTCATTCTCTTCATCTTCAGTAATCCCTTCAATATCATTAGCAGCACCAGCAGCGGGTAACGCTTAAACTCAAATACTTATACTCAAATATCCTATCGTAATCTGTTTCAGATTAAAAACAAAAAGAATGTTATACCTATAATGTTTGCACATTGAATGTGAGCATGTCAATAAACTGTAAAAAAAAATGTTTCAACAAATAGGTCTACTTTTGTCAATGATAAGTAATCTAATCAGTAACAAAATCACACCTCAGCCGCGGTGTATTTATGGGATGGAATGAATGAACTAGGGGCGCACGCCTCTTTAACAGCAATTGGTTGCAAGCCCACCCCCACTGCTGGAATTGGTTGAGCGAAAAGAATACGCTCGTCAAAAAGACACTAAATATTACCCTTTTTTTGTCAGCTAGAGTTTGTGGTGACTTTATTTCATGCATCGCTAACGGTCGCTAACAGCAGGTGTTAGTGCTAATTTGCATAACACAGAAACATTTTTATGTTGGAAGGGATTATTCGTTTCTTCTGGTTTTTGAGTCGTGTACGCGAGGACGTATTTTCCACACCCATAGGAATAACTGTGAATGTGTGTGCTATATTTCTATTGCATCCTGTTTGTGGATCGGAAACATTATTTTATTCATTTATATGTGTTTGAGCAGATTGCCTTCAAGCTTTGGACAACAACACTGAATTTACTGAATATGAATAGTAAAGTAGTGAGTATATGTGCGTCATCCTATCTACTGTTACTAAAAGTTCCTCATGTAACTATCGAACCCCTCCACTTAACATGCTCTTCCTCATCAGCCCTAGCACATTTTTTAAATGTTTCTAGATACACCACCAGCACTAACATCATCTATGTCACCATCATCATAGTCACCACCACCATCATTATCCGTGGCCGGGGAAACCTGGGGGGGGGGCAAAAAATATATGTCTATTGAGATTTTTGTATGATCGGGAAAAATGCAGGAAAAGAAAGAGGAAAGAAGGAGGAGAGGGAGGGGAAAGAGAGTGTTTATCCAGTCCCCGGCCGAGTTAGATTTTCTCACAATTCACATTGCGGATCTGGGGATCGGGGGTCCTGATACCCCTCCCCAGAAAAATAAACAAAATTCTAGACCCCCCCCCCCCTATTAAGGACCTGTGAGCTGAGTTTTTTTTTTTTTTTTTTTGTTAAAAAAATAAGAAAATTCAATTCAATTTTTAATTAATGTGTTTTTATATGCCTTTTAATTCTTCCATTTTTTATCATTGGTGATCCGCTACACTAGCGGATCACCTCTTGTTATTGTCAGGATCATCATCATCATCTTTTTTGGTGATCCGCTAACGTTAGCGGATCACCTATTGTTATTGTACGGAATCATCATCTTCAACTTTCTTATTCTTCTTTCTTTCTCCCCTTTTTTGTTCGCACGATATCTCAAAAAATGCCACGAGTTTACGCACAATCGTTGTCAGCGAACATTTGGCTTGGTCTGGAATAGTCATGGTAAGCTTTTCAACGCACTCAGTCATGCATGACGTCATGTACGTGCAATTTTGCGTTTTTACATTATCGATCATATCAGCCTAACCAATTGCCATTTCGAAATCGTATTAAGTGAGCATTAACTTCGGGTTAATGTTGGATGTACTGTACGTTGGATGTACTGTACCCTAATTTTATGCGTGCGTTTCATAATGCGCGCGCACGCGTGCGTTAAAATTTTAAAATGCTCGAAATCACTTTTTAACTAAATTAGAGCACGTTTTAGGCCATTTTAAGCATTTAAATTTTTTTTGAAATTTTCCACTACGCGCGCGCATTTTGACGCGCGCAGCACATACCAAAGCTAGACACTATGTTTTTTCACATATTTTGGGTTCCTGACATTGTTTTCACAAACTTCCATTCTTTTCGGTCATCTTTTGGCCAATAGCAATGCCGTACGTGCGCATCAAACATAGGTATCTTTGCGCGTATTTGTGCCGCTATACAGTGAAATTATGCTAAAATCAGTTATAGCTCCTTAGGTTGAAAGGTGACCCCCAATTTTTATTACATATTCTGAAAGCACATAAGTTGTAAATATGATTTTATAGATCAAAATGGCTGATCGGACATTGTGACGTCATCATATTGCATATTAGCGTCTGAATTCAAAGAAAGTGATTTATAGCTATGACGTCATTTTTGAAAATACGCATTTGAGCGTATCTCGCTTATCCTTTATCGATCATCTTCCAACTTTCAGTATGTTATAGCTGAGATTATTCTCTTTCATATATTTGACTTCTTTTTACATTTTGATGACGTCATCATGGTCAAAACATTTGTTTTTTCTGACCCCTACATCTTTCTTTCCTCAAAACGTTGATGAGCAAATAGGCGGTTTTAAATACACTTGACAATGTTTAATTTCGTGTGCTATTACTGTACACGCACACATGGCGACGTGCGTGTCTGTTAAAATTTGAAAATTCTCCATATTACTATTCAGATAGTTTAAAGAACGTTTCGGGTCATTTTCAACATTTCAAAACTTTCCATAATTTACCTGTCGTACGTTCATTTCCACGCACACACTAAAGTTGGAAATTACGCGTTGTTACATATTTTGTGTTCCTGACACTGTCAGGAGTCACTCTTTGTGACATTACCGTGCTCACGGGCGTCAAGACGTGTGTGTACGCATGCGGAAATCTTTTAAAATGCTCACAATTATTCTTTTTTTAAAAACAAATTACAGCATATTATGAAACGTTTCAATCAGCACTGCGCGCGCTTCATGAGGGTCAAAGTACGGCGGATCACCAAACTTGTCCTCAGTGACGAGTTCAAATCTAGTTTATGTTTGTGTTGTGAATTTCTTGAATTTTGGTGTTCTGTTTTTTAATTTTTAGGCAATTATTGTACACTCATATACAGTCTTTTGGCTGTCTGTAATTTTTAATTGTTGTTAGAGATCATCTTTTTATTCTTCTTTCTTTCTCTCCCCATTTTTGTGCGCACGATATCTCAAATTTGCGGCAAGCTACGCACATGCGCGCTTCAACGAATATTTTGCGCATCAAACATAGGGATCTATACAGTGAAAATATGCTAAAATCAGGCCTATTTTTATTCAGTTATAGCTCCTTAGGATGAAAGGTGACCCCCCCCCCCCCAANTTACTTTTTCAAATTTTCAGTCAAAATTTATATATGCTTAAAATTATGCCTAATTTTAATCAGTTATAGCTCCTTAGGATGAAAGGTGACCCCCAATTTTTATTACATATTCTAAAAGCACATGAGTTGTAGATAATTTTATAGATCATTATGACTGATCAGACATTGTGACATCATCATATTGCCATCTGAATTTTTAAAAACTGATATTTTATTTATAACGTCATAATTTTTATATTCACTTGAACGTATCAAGCTTATTGTTGATCAATCGTCTCCTACCTTTGAGTATGTTATAGTTGAGACTGTTTGCTTTCACAATGTGTCATTTATTTTTCACTTTGATGACAGCATCATTGTCAAAAAGAATGTTTTTCTGACTCCTCCCCCACCTCTTTTCTTCTTCAGTTTTTTCAGAACCCTAAAGAGAGCGCGGCAGAATTGATATTGCCTTGCACTGTTTGAAAATCCTGGCTACGGTAGCTTCCCATAATTCATACTTTTAAGCACTGAGAGATTTCTTTGGCCTGACATGCGGATCACCTAACTCATCCTCAGTGACGAGTTCAAATCTAGTTTATATTTTATCTGAATAAAAAATAAAGACCTTCAATACAAAATTATAAGTCGGGAAAGCTCATTTCCCGCCATCTAGGAATCAACATTTTCTCGGGGGAAGACCCCGACCCCCTTTTATTTTTGGGTTCATCGATTCATGCAAAAAAGAATACGTATGCAAAGCATGTATACCGGTACACACAATAGGCCTATTTACTGTAATAAGAATGAGAAAAATTTACCTGATTTTTTGTATGTATGTATACACACATAAAATTTGTATGTATACACACAAGAGGGGAAAACCTTAAATTCTGAAGAACTTAAAAGTCTAAAAGACATTTCAGAAGTCGGGAAAGCTCATTTCCCGCCATCTAGAAACCAAGATTTTCCCAACGGGTAACCCAGACCTCTCTTTGGGGTTAAAATAAAAATGAAAATAAATTACCTAACCGATTTCAAGAGGGGAAAACCTTGAATTTTGAACAACATTAGGCCTAAAAGACACTTCATAAGTCATGAAGCTCATTTCCTGCAATTTAGAAATCAACATTTTCCCGGACATCCTTTCTCTTTGGGGTTTATTGATTCATAGAATCGTTTTCATGTTGCTGCTTGGATTTTTCCATTCTTTGGGCTGCATGTTTTTGAAGGCTTAATTTATCAATTATTTATTTATTTAATTATTTATTTTCTATTTGTTTACTTATTTACTTTATTCATTTATTTATATTTATTTAACTTATAATAAATAAAATAAAAAATATTCTGATTAATATATGTAGGCTCTTTAATATAAGATATAATATAATTTAATTTCTTTTAAATTCTTGGTCCTACCTTTTTTTTTTGACGCCTTGAGACGATTTTATTGTGGAAGGCGCACTACAAATATCCCACCATTACCATTACCATTAGGAAAACCTGGGATTTTGAAGAACTTAAAAGTCATAAAAAGACACCTCAGAAGTTGGGAAAGCTCATTTCCCGCCATCTAGGAATCAAGATTTTCGTGGGGAAGAACCCCCGAACCCCGCTTCCTCTTTGGGGTTTATCGATTCATGGGAAAAAGAACGTGTATGCAACTACTCATTTTTGTTATGTATGTATACACACATAACAGGCCTACATATTTACTGTAATAAGAATTAGAAAGTTTACATGACTGTTTTCAAGAGGTGGAAAAACGATTCCATGAATTTTGAAGGACTTTAAATTCCTTAAGTCATTAAAGCGTTTGGCGCATCAGTTGTGGCTTGGACTCCCAACCTCTAGGTCGGAGGTTTGAAACTCTCGCAGTGAAAATCGCTTGGGCAAGGCACTTTATCTACGGTTGCCTCTCTCCACCCAGGAGTACAAGTGGGTACCTGGTAGGTTTCAACACAACTGCGCTGATTACTAACTGCAATATTATGGAATAATAATTATTTAATTATAATTATATAATTTAATAATTTAATTTGGTGTTGAGTATGTGTTCCCTATGTGTTTGATCCAATGACCAGGGTGGTAATGTGAAGCGCTTAGAGGCTTTGTGCTTGAAGAAAGCGCATCAAAATACGCGCTGTTGTTGTTAAGGACTTTTTGTGTGGTAAAGGATACAAAATTGCTTGACAACCAATACGCGCTCGTTTTGACGCGCTACTGTGATTTCATGAACTAACACAATCTACTTTGATTGTGTTAGTTCGTGATGTGAACGACGAATTAAACAATATAAATTTGTTTCATGTTATCATTGTCTATTAAAACGTTCTGTTTCTTAGGCTAACAACTCACCAAATTGTAAAATTTCGACGGGTCCCTCAGATTCCAAATTCTCAAAGATGTTATTGATTATTCTAAAGCTTCCATCTGGCAGTAAAGAAAACATCTTCCCTAGAATTCTTCTATCTTTAGATACATTTATATATCCAAGGATAATATATGGCTGTACTATGCCGGGCAGTGCAACGAAGCTTAACAACTCTTCTCTGAAAACAGATTTAAACAATTTCATTGTCAAGTTTACATTCTACCAATAATAATAATTTCCAATCCAGGGATGGCGAAGCCTTTGGACCTTTCGTAAACCTGCAGTGCCAACCGCCATGCCTAAAATTAATGTAGTTTCTACGCATGCGCTAGAAATTTATGTCGTATTAAACACGATCGAGTTTGTTAAAAAGGAACATAATCATTTGAAAAAGGGGTTTTGGATTTTGAAGAACTTTTATAGAGTTCTATAAAAATGCGAAAACCGATATTGTCGTGATACTTTAAAACAGGAAGGAAGAGGTTATTCGCACGGTATGACAGCTGTTTTCGCATTGGCTGTGTCATCATCAGGCATTGTGTCGGGAATCAGTGTTTCGGCATTGATTGTGTTATCATCGGGAATAGTCAATTCCTGATGGTGTCATAGCTGGTGTTGGAATATTGGGTCCCGGCTCGGTGGCGTGCGTTTCGGTGCTTGGAGTATGTATTAGGCCATGGGCTGGAAGGGGTCACCGTGCATGCCCTCTCCCACAGTTAAACTTCCTTGGTATCATTTTGTTCCTACGGGCATATAGAACAAAAAAAATTGATGTTAACAAGAAAAATATAGGGATGCATTCTATGTACTCGCGTCATTTGTAATGCTCGTTAGTGTTTTATGGTCAATACTTTTTTGGGGGGAGGGGATAACATTTATGCCTATAACCTGTGAATTAAGAGTCCCATCAATGTTATTTTGGTAGCAATGTGTAGCATATATGTTTCTTAATCATATGCAGTTTAAATAAAAATAATCCGACATTTATTAAGGTCACTAGAGGTCAAAAGGTCATTGACCGTTTTCTAAAATGCAAATTTTTTCATAAAATATCAATAAACTTTGAAGTGTAAATAATATGTCTAATTTCAGATGTATTTGATACAAATTGTGTTTTTCATGTAGTTCGTAACATATGGAATACAAAAATTGAGGTTAACAAGAAAAAAATTAAAATGCATTATGTACTATTGTCAATGTTTATGATCCATGAAATTTGTAATCAGCGACAGTTTTGGGGGTAGGGGGTAACATTTATGCTCATAACTCTTGATTTACTCAATGGATTTGTATGATGTTAGTATCAACATTTAGCCTATAGATTGGTCAGTCATTCAAATTTAAAAAGTTTTGAAACAGGCAGAAATTGACGCAACTAGAGGTCAAAGGGTCATTGACCTACACAGAAAAGTTGTATATTAATATTCCCAATTCACTCACAAACGTTTACAAATCTACAGTTGTGAGTAGATTTGATACCAATTAGTATTTTCTATTATTAATAAGCATATGGAATATCAAAAATGATATTAATAAGAAAAATGTATAAATTGATTAAATGTATTACTCTCATTGTTGATTACTTGTGTAATCAATGGCGATGTTTGGGGTAGGGGTTAACATTTAGGTTCATAACTCATGATTTATTGGATAGATTTGCATGTTGGTGGCATTAACATGTAGCCTGTAGATTTTCCAACCATTCATTTTTAAAACGTGTGCAGAAATTGACGTATCTAAAGGTCGAAAGGTCGTTGACCTCTGTAGAAAAATGCAAATTCTTCCCAAAAACCATGGCAGATATTCTTTATGACAATATAATGGAAATATAATATTGTCATATATAGGATACCGTTTGTTTTAGATTATGGCCTTAAAATTTAATCTCTAGCTCATACACTTAAGTACTATTATAATGCTCTAACACAGGATTCGAACATCGAACCTCTTTTTTGCAATCCACCCATCATCAATTTACAACATTTCTGTGGAGGTCAATGACCTTTTGACCTCTAGCTACGTCAATTTCTGCCTGTTTAAATTTTTTTTCAATTTGAATGACTGACCAATCTATAGGCTAAATGTTGATATCAACATCATACAAATCCATTGACTAAATCAAGGGTTATGAGCATAAATGTTACCCCCTACCCCAAAAAGTGTTGTTGATTACAAATTTCTAGATTCATAAACATTGACAATAGTACATAATGCATTTTAATTTTTTTCTTGTTAACACCAATTTTTGTATTCCATATGTCAATAGCTACAAGAAAAACACAATTTGTATCAAATACATCCAAAATTAGACATATAACATGGTCCTAATTGGCAACTGCCGCAAACTCCTCAAAGACATCGACAACCAAATTCACTTTAGGACTAGAAAGCTAAAAAGAGACCTTCCTATATCTGAGTTTCAAAACAAACTCAAGATTATTGCCAAGGATTGCCTTAAGCTTTCCAAGGAACTTTCCCTGAGGAGACAACACAAATTTGGTCGAGACAATATCACTTCAACACAAGTGATCCAACCTTCGCACAATGTTTCGCTTTCACGTACAGTAAGCCTAGAAGGTTCATTCGGCGCTTTAGTGATAATCCGTGCAACACCACGGATTCAGTTGTTCAAATTAACTGTCAGCTTTCCGAAGGAGAAACCAAACTTCTATCCCGAGGACTCAAATTTTGCCCAAAACCGAGGCAGGCTGACCCACAACAACTACAGTATCTTTGGATCTGGAAGCTTTCTTCCGACGTTTAAGATGCCGTGAATTTTTCGCCGATTCCGACGGCAACACCACGGATAACACGGGCAATGTTACCAAATTCAAACCTAAAAGTACCTGGAATCCC